AATTTTTAAATTAAGTAATAAATATAGATTATATTCAATCTATGTATGAAAATACTTACAGTTAATAGAAATAGGTAATAATAATTTACCACTACTCAAAATTTCTTTTTATTTTAACTGAAATTTTTATAATTCAGCTAACATAAATGCCCAAAAAAAAAAAAACAATAGTTATTCTTAAGTTCTAATTAAGGATGTGTTTAGTATATAGAAGTTTGTGGTTAATAGTTTGTAGTTTGAAATTTAAACTAATCCAGAGAATAAATATATTTACATTATAAAAAATAAGAGATTATAGAAAATTATGATATGTTAACCATTTAAATATTAGAAATAATAATTAAAAAACTTAAATTTTGTGGTTAAATATTATAATTCTCAATCGTGCCATTACAAAACGTACTATCATTTAAATTTTGAGTGCGTACAGTGTAACATTACTAAACTAGAGATTGTTTTCCCTTTTTTTCAAATTTGTTGTAATTTATATTTATTATTTTACAAATCAATATAAATTTTGTAACTTTTGTGACTACAATGAGAAAGAGGATGTTACATGCGAGCTCCAAGGATGGATTCAAGGAGGAGTTTGATGGGATTCAAGGAGGAGTTTGATGGGATTCAAGTGGAGTTATAGGCAACCCATCCTAACCAATATTGATGGATCTTAAGAAGTGGAGTTAAGGGCAGTCTTCTTATAACTATTGTAGAGGAGTAGGCCTTTGATACTAAAACTTACCTCTCCATCAGTATTTAAAAAAAGTACAAGACTGAAAAATTAAGTGCATTCTCTTTTTTGAAAATTGTTGATCTAGTTTTTGCAACTTACCAAAACTGTTATTTTTAGTTTTCAAAATAAAAAATTTTCTACAAAGATACCAAACAAACCATAAAATATCATTAAGAAAAAGAGATTTTAATTATAGACAAAAAAAATTGTCAGTTTGCCAAAAAAAAAAAATGGAATGAACTAATTATGCCCCTAAATGTCACCAACTAATCTTTATTTTTATGACTCAATTGGTTAATAATTTGAAATTTTAAATTCCAATTTTGAATTAAGTAGGGAATTTGAGAAAAGTGAAGTGCTATCTGCTCTTATATAATCAATCATCTTATGCACTAAAAAAAAAAGAAATCATCATGTGATCAATGAAATACTAATAATTTAGATGGCATTGAGTATTTTTCATCAATATTAAAAATGACAAAATTGTGGTTAATGGAATGTTTAATTGTATATTTGGGTTGAGAGAAATTGAGGGGAGGGAAAAGAAAGTTTTTTTAACTAATTAAATTATAATATTTTTAAAATGTTATAATTTAATTGATTAAAAAACTTTCTTGTTTCCTTCTCTCTCCTCCGTTCTTTTCGACCTAAACATACTATAATTTAGTTGGTTGGTGATTAAGGAAGTAAAACAGTAATTTTTTTATCAAGGGGTAAAATAGTAAGTGGGAGTTGCAGCCTACAGGCAATCGATCCTAGTGAAATGATCCTAGACATTGTGAAAGCCCGACCACTCTAAACAAACGAGGTTCACGATTTTCCTACAATCACGTTGTTTATGGAGTACTGTTGTTATTTTTGTTGTTAATTTCTTTGATTCATGTCTTCTATTGCATTCATTTTATTATACTTAAACCATGTAGTTTAATTAATGTAATATTCGTGATATATAATTTAATTTCTCATATCTTATCCATCTTTTCCTTTTTCTTTTGCATATTTTTTTGTAATTAATTGTTATTTAAAAGTAAAAATGATATTCTTACTTACATTTTAAGTAATTAAAGGAAAAATATATAAAAAAATAGATTTAAAAAAATTAACCTCACTAATAAGAAAGAATGTTCTTTCTCGTTTATATATTTAAGAAAATATATGCACCTATTATTTTAAAATATAAAACATTTAACTTTTTTATATGTATTTTTAGGTAATATTTTTTAATAGTATATTAATGATAATTGAATTTTTTTATCAAATAAGACTACTTAATAAGAGTTATTAAAAAAATTTTAATTATCATTTATATATTATAAAAAACATTGTTTAAAATTATATAAAAAATATTTTAAAACTTCATATTTTGGAACAAAACGAGTATGTCATATATTGGTCTTTGAAAAACCATTTTTCACGAACCAAAAAAAATTGCTTCAGACATATTGTGTAACTCACCCCTTTTGAGTTATTTTAATGAACAGATTTTTCGATGGCCAAAAAAATTAAGGTTGCTCCAAGATTTGACAGTTAGTTCCCAAGATCCCCATTTCCAGGTTGCATAATAGCAGCACAAGACCTTTAATTAAAACTTGTATTTTGGGGCAAAGATGTGATTTTCTAGTCTTCACGTTGCACAACAGTAGCACAAGAACTGTAAAAGCTATAGTATTATGGTGGGGCAAAAGATTAGTGAAAAGGAGAAATAAAATTAACCAACCCTACTACGTGCGTGATTCACAATCCAGAACGCTTGGCACTAATTAATTAAGACTTAAGACCAAAAAGACTTTCGACTGTCGGAAAAATAATTCGACTCAAGATTTCAAAAAGCAAAAAGAGGATTGTTGTTTACTCGGATTTCTTTTTTTAGAGTAATTTAGGTGATAATCGTCTTACCTGCCTAGTACTTATCCGTCGCTCTATATCTAAAAGATTTTTAAATTAAATAATAAATACAGATTATATTCAATCTATGCATAAAAATGCTCACAGTTAATAGAAATAGGTAATATTAATTTACCACTACTCATAATTTCTTTTTATTTTAACTTGAGTTTTTATAATTCAGCTAACATAAATGCCCAAAAAAAAAAAAAAA